AAAATTTTGGATGCACTTTTTTTTTAGCATTTTTATAGGGTTAGGATTAGTGTTTAATTTTAATCCGATTATAATCCTCGACAATATATTATTAAAGCAACCTGTCCGATATGTATTTGCATGCCTTGTATAAATAATTTTAAATTATTGTTTGGGCTAAATAATAGCCCTTCAATCGCACATTTCAACCTTATTTCATCTAAAGAAAACAAATCTAGCGGACAATAGTTTGATAAAATTTTCTTGGTATATTTGTGCATACAAAATCGGCAAGATTGAAATTTTGCAGAATTTTTAGAATTTATGAGAGGAGAAGATGGCAAAAATGCCCATTTTGGCTTTCGAATTGATAAAAAAAAAAATACAGTAAATAAAAAAAAGGGTTAGACATTAGGATGAACGAAATCGAAATAATAATAAAAGGAATAAAAAGAAATAAAAGGGCATGAAACACCTTAAGTTCAATAGATAATGTAAGATTTGCATCAGATGCAAATCTTGTATGATCAAGTGTTAATATGCCATAGAGTTGATTGAAATCAATATCTTTACAAATTCGATCGCTAGGACGCATAGGACGGATAGCTTCTGACAACGCCTTCAGAAACGTTTGAGGAACTTCTAACAATATCTATAAATAAAATAAAAATTTTACTTTGGTACATAAACCGATGAACAATTTTTGATTATATATAGAAAATAAATATTCGTGCATGAATATACCGATTTACTAATATATTCATCACCAAGAAGAGGCCCAATGACCGAGGAAGCGTATGAAATTGTAAAACCATTTTCGAACGAATTAGCATTTTTAATGCCGGTATCTTGGTTACTAATAATTGCCTTTCTAAGTCGAAGAACAGTTCCAAACTGTCGTGCGAAAGTGGTCGAATAAAGTAGATGAATTGTTTTTGTTAAACAAATTGATGAAAGTTCAGGCCCAGTCAGCCAAAATATCACACTAAACCAAGGCCGATACCAGGATTCAATGAGTACTGTTGAACCTCCAAAAGCCGATTCTGTTAAACCGATGACCTGTTAAATCTGATAAAAGATTAATTTACAAGTCTGTTTCTGCTATATAAATCTAATAGTTTATAATGTTCAAATCTGATAGCCTCCCAATATGGGTCCATCATGAATACCGGTTTTAAGAGATTCAACAGTATAATGGTTGACGACATACAAATCTTTCATTTTTCCCAACAAATATCAGGACGATATTTGCGTTTCCTTCTGCTTTGTATTTCCACAAAATTGCATGATAAAGTTCCGGGATAACTTCAGTATGTGGCATAAATAATTGTGACAGATTAAAATGAAATCAGATTAAAATAGTGTAAAATAGACAAGCCACTGAAAAATACAAAATTTTGGATGCACTTTTTTTTTAGCATTTTTATAGGGTTAGGATTAGTGTTTAATTTTAATCCGATTATAATCC